GGGAGGGGGAGGGGAGGGGGCGGGAGGACGCACCACGCACGCACGCGGCGGCGCCGGCCAGATGTTCCCCCCGCCTCAGCCCGCCCCTCTCCTCCCCCTGCCTCCCTCCCTCCGGGCGTTGGGCTCCTGCGATTGACCGAAAGCGGCTGGACCGGCGCTCCCCGCCCGCCCCCAGCCCTCAGACTCCTCCAATAGAAGGGCGACTTTTCAGGAAGGCGGAGGGGGTGGTAGGCAATTGTCGGACTGACAAGGGGGCTCGGCCAATGGGAGAGGGGAACCGGAGCTACCGCCTGCGCGTGCCAATCGTAGGCAGCAACTGTTGGGGTGGGCGGGGCCCGGGCGGGCGGGGGCCGATAGCGAAGCGGCGCGGGGCGGAGTCCTCGGGCGCAGCGGCGGTGGCAGCAGCGGCGCCCCTCTGGGTGACTTGGCCGTGAGAAAGTGAAAGGAGCCCGCAGGCGGCGGCGACAGCTGCGCTGGGAGGGGCTTGTTTCCAGGCTCTGAGGCCCCGCGCACTCTGGGGGTGCGGAGCGAGCTTCTCGGTGTGCTCCGTGACAACCATAAGTATACTTTTAAACGTAGTGGGGCTTGGCTGCTCCAAGTTACGCAGGTGTCCTCGGGAGGCAGTGCACCCGGGGACACACAGGACTCGAGTCCGGCATTAGGTGGCTCCCTCCCGTGGGCGTGACGACGCCCAGGTCCTCGCCTGCCCGAGCGCAGGAGAGCAGGACTAAGGAACGACCTTGCTGCGTGCTGCGGTGTCCGGTCCAGGTGCACATCGGGGCGCTGGGGACGCGAGCAACTCGAGAGAGGCTCAGTGTCTGCCCGTCGTTCCTATGTCATGTCACCGGCGGGGCAGAGCGCCTGCTTTTCTCGCAGAACCCTCATGTCCCATACGCACGTACACTGTTATAAGACATCCCCAAGTGACCAAATTTTAGAGTATTACAGTAAAATTGATACTTGTAGATGCCTTAGCTTAATTCCTTAATTGGTACGTATCTAGCCACAACTTTAAACTACCAAGGGAAGAAGTAAGACGATTGTAGTCGCTTTTTCCTTCCTTCGAATAAACTTTTTACTCGGTACCTGTTCTTTGCGACTACACTGTGTAAGTCACCGCCGAAGTCACGGAGAAATGTGGAAATGTCTGCCCTCAAGAAATTGGAAATCTTTATTGAGGCAAGAATTACAAGGAAAAAGTTGGCTAACAAGTGGGAAAAAAAATGATTCAAGTAAATAAAATCGAAAACTGCATAGTGAGGAAGTCAGTACACTAGTAATTGTCTAATGAAATGTGTTTATTCTTTGCTAACCGAACCCGGACTGGCAAGCCTGTTGCTAACCAACTTGCCAGGAGACCTTTCAACTGGGCAAAATGTGCTTTCACTTTGTTCCAGGTCAAATGGGTAAAAGCAAGTTGAAGGTATTGTGTGGGCAAATCAGACATGTTGAATTGCTAATGAAGTAAAAACAGGAGCACACAAAATTCCTGGAACTGAAATGGCGTTGGAATATCCTGTTAGAAACAGTAGTGATGTTCTCTACTCTTTCCTCAATTCTTCTGTGTCCTCAGGATTGATCACTGGGTCAAGGTTATCCTATGGTAACTAGAGTTTTTTATTCCATGAAGTCTATTGTTATATCTGTGCTTTTGATGAATTCTAGGTCTTTTCAGTCTGTTGGTAGAAGGCCCAATTTCAGGTCTGACCTGTTGCAAGTTAGAGTAATTTATAAATGTTATTGTTGAGTGAAACACACAGAGACACACACACAGACACAAATGAAATGTAAAAAGGGATTACATGTTTTACCAACAAATTCAGAGGAAAAACATGTTTGCATTCTCAAAGCTGTTTCTCACCTACTAAAAGTTTTAAAAAAGGAAAGTGACAGATCCTGGGTGAATAGACAAAGTAATTGATAGTGTCAGGATATTAAACAGGAAATTCATGAGCAAATTAGAACATTCAGATTATTCATGAAAAAAACTTAGAAACTCAGCTCTGTGGCATCCAGAGCCAAGTTGAAGTTCTAATAAAAGATTTTACAGAATGTACCTACAAGTATTTAATAGAATAGCAGCCCCAGAGATGTGTAGGAGAAGACACTGATACATCAAAAGTTGTAACCATTGTATTTTTCTTCTAATAGTCATTACAGGAATCCATTTTGAGAGC